TTTTTTTTTTTTTTTTATATTCCTCAACTTATTCCCAAATTTCATTATTGTTCTCTTTTTATAATTTGCTTTTTTTTTTGGATTATTTGTGTTTCATATCGTTTTTTTTTTCTTCAATTATTTATTTGTCAATAGTTTTATGGCGTTCTATTTGCGGTTGTTTTTTTTATTATTATTATTATTTTATAGAAAAAATATTTTTATTTATCAAATTTTTTTTAAACGATTCATAAATATAATGGGAGAAAAAGAAATGATAATAAATTGAAGTAAATGCATCTGATATTGGAAGAGATAAATTAATTATATTTGATTTTTGAAATATAATATTTATAATTAATTATTCTATTTGATTAATGTACTTGTGAGTAGAAGTTGATGTAATTTTGTTTAATTTATTTATTTGAACATAATTATTAGCTTTCATGAGTGAATAACTCAAAAGCTTAAAATTTAAAGCATATTAATACGAATATATATTAATAAATAAAATCAAATGAAGTTTTATTGATGAAATTGATTTTAATGATTGTACTTAATAAAAATAACCTAATATAAATTAATTATTTCAAATTGACTAATCTAATAAAATTATTGAAAATATTAAAAAAAAATCAAATAGAAATATTATATATTTATATACAATTTTAATAAAATGTTCATATTAAATTTTAATCATTTAGATATCTTAAATAATTTCAATTGGGACACTTTTATATCTTTGTTGACTTGAAAAGTTTTTTTTTTTTTTCTTTTTTCTGTAATTGACAAGTGGCATTTCAATTTTTTTTTAAATAATTTTATTAGACAGTGAAAATTTAAACATTTAATCATTTAGTTTGGTCCGTATTGTATGTCCTATAATATGATACAAATTATAAAAGACGTCTCTCCAAATTTGGTAGGTCACTCTGTTTCTTTCTCCTCAAACCAAACAAAAAAAACTAACCATCTTTTAAAATTTGGTTCATATTAAATCATTATTCCTCTTAATAATTTAAGATTTTTTTTTAGCGTAGATATATGCACATTTTTTTATAGTTCAATATAAAATAAAGTTAAAAGATTAATATATATATTTTTAATTAAATAAATATGTAAAATTAAAAAGATTTGAATCTTTAATCTTTCTCAGAGTGAGACGGGAATTGAATGGGATGACAGAGAATAGAGTAGATGAGAATTGAAGTGCTGACGTCAGAAGGGGTCTATGGATTACATCAGCAAAATGATGTCATCAAATAATATTCGTGCTGCAATAAAATGAATTCCAAGTCAGCAGAAGATGAAAGATGGTGGAATTTTCAAGGCTGTTTCCGCGTTGTCCACATCGGAAAATAATAAAAATAATAAATAAAAAAACAAACAAATATTGATGGCTTTTGAAATGGTCACCACTTTCCTCTCTCTCTCTCTTCAACTCTCAAGTAGAAATAGTTTAAATTTTGGTCCAAATTCCCAGTTTTTTCGTAAGTAATCTACTCAAGTGGCTTACAAGTGGCTTACTATTACGGATAATATTACAATTTTTGAAAGAATAAACGTGAAAATTTAAATATATTTATGAAAAAGTTTAATTATATTTTTAGTGTCTTTGTCACAATCACGCTCTAGTAGGTAGGATAATGATCATGTAACACTTGTTATAACCCAACGAACAAGTTAGTGGTGTGAAATTCGGACTTCGCAGATAATATCGATATATGTTCGAGTCTCAAGTCATGTTTGGAAGAAATGTTTTTAAAAAACGTGAGCGAATAAATATGTTGAAAGCCAAAAGTGAGTAGGCAATAACAAGAGCTTTAATAGCATACATATGAGAAGGAAGAATTAACAACTAATCATATTTTCTATGGTACATCTTAGAAGATTTTAGCTATAACATATGTAGACATGATTTTAGTAATCGATCATCGGTAAAAGAAGTTTGAAATGAGCATGCGGGTGTGGATAACATGTCTTAGACAAACATGATGACTCGTAAAAGAAGTTTGAAATGGAGATGTGGGCAAACATGAGTGGGAGATATGACCACACAGTGAAGGCGGTGGGAAGTTTCTTATTTGTGTTTGTGAACTTGCAATTTTATTAGAGCATGAGCCTTTTTTTATAATGAATTGAGAGTTATTTTGATTAAAGTTACGGGGGGCTACTCGGTTTCTTCCCGTACGAGTTAGGCCTTTTTTTAGTCTCTTTTTGTGTTTGTTGGAGAGCTTCTTACACGTCGTTTTTCTCTCTCTTAAATCTACGACCATCTTTAAAAGCCCTTCCCTTCAAACCCATTTCCCCCATCTCTTCAGCTCTCTCAAAGTTTGGAGCTTTTTTCACTTTTGCTCATTTGGGTTCTTAGAAATTGGGATTTTGGAGTGACCCATTTAGCCACACATCACCTTTTTGTTGTTCTTCTGTGGATTTTCCCCAATTTTAAACCCTTGAATGACCATATTCTTAACACATTCTTCTTTAAAGCTTGCATTTTTCTGGGTTTTGACTGATCCCAACTACAGAGCCGCCGCCGCCATTCTTAATGGAACACAAGAGTTTGATCACCGAGTTGACTCAGGGGAAGGAGATGGCGATTCAACTCAAAACCCACCTTCCTTCTCCTCCTCCTCTTGGTTCTTCTCCACAAGCTCTCATTTTCTTGACGGAAATGATTCAGTCTTCTTTCGAGAATGCACTTTTGCTTCTGAATTGGAACCCTAAAGATCCATCCGAAGAAGAAGAAGAAGAAGAAGAAGAAGAACCCACCAAGAACAAGAGGAAAAACAGCACCAGAGATGTGCTGCTCAAGAGGAGGTAACTAATTTTGAGCTTCTTTTTCCAATTCTTTTCCTCTGTTTTTCATTTGGATTTGGTTTTGCAGAAAGTTGCTGCCTAAATGGACAGAGGAAGTTAAGGTTAGCAGTGGCACTGCTGCTGAAGGCCCACTCAATGATGGCTATAGTTGGAGAAAATACGGCCAAAAAGATATCCATGGCGCTAACTTTCCAAGGTGAATATCATAAGTTCATCGTTCTTCCACTAAAAAAACAGGACAATTGTTTCTAATAATCAAATTTTTGCAGATGCTATTATAGATGCACTCATCGGAATGTACGAGGATGTTTGGCCACAAAACAAGTTCAGAAATCCGACAACGATCCCAACATTTTCGAGGTGACATACAGAGGACGACACACATGTAACCAATCCGCTAATTTGGGATTGATTTCAGTTTCAAATCGGAACGAAATCCCAGAAGAAACCCATCAAAATCAAAAAAACCCAAACTCTGAAATTCTCTTCAATTTCGGAGAACAACAGCATTTCGGTCTAAAAACAGAGGATTTTGACGATGTTTTTCCGCCGTTTAGCTTCGGATCGGAAACTGTCCATGAAAATGTGTTCTTAGAATCAATGATGGAGACGGGTTTTGTTGCGGACGGCAACTGGTCTGCGGCGGCTGTGTCGTCGGCGACGTCGGAAACAGCCTGGGATTTCAGCGGTTACGGCGGAGAAATTCAGGGGGTTCAGTCGTCGGAGCAATCGAACATGACGGAAATGGTTTCGGCGACAACTTCAGTGACGAATTCGCCGATTGGTAATGGGGATTGGGATTTGTCGCTTGATAAGGTTGATTTTGACCAGTTTTTCCTCTTTGACTGTCTGGATTTCATCTCTTGAAGTTCTTCCATTTTGTACCAAATTTTCTTCATTATTATGATTATTATTATATTTTTCATGAAGGATAATTTTCTCCCCCATGTAAAAATAATTTTGAGAATGATTGTGGATTTATATTGATTGTCACTTTGTTATAAAAATTTATAGGTATTTTTAAAATAAGGTGGTGTAAAGTATTTTTATTAATTTATTAAAAAAATTAATTACAATTTTAAAAAATGGATATTTGATTATTAAAATGGAAATATGTGAACTAGGTCTTGTAATATTTAAATAATAGAGAAAATTTATGTAAATATTAATGAAAATAATTTAAGAAAGAATAAAAGAATAAATGTTTTATATCAAATCTCTTCTTATTTCAATAATTAATCATTGGGTTTATGGAATAAATAAATAAATAGGATATATTAATATTAAAAAAAACGATAAAATATATTATTTGGCTCTATGCCACGACTCAGTACTTGGCAACATGACGTGTTCTCTCTTTCCTCAATAAATAATTAATAAATAGGATACTACTTGGCAACATGACGTGTTCTCTCTCTCCTCAATAAATAAATAAATAAATAACACGTGTCTCTCTAGAAATGTTTTTAAAAAGTGTCTAATTGGAAGGATTTTTTTAAAATAAAAAAATAATAAAAAATAATAACAAAAATTTAATAATTAGTTATCACTATAATTTAATCTCACACTTTTAAAAATATAAATATAAATAGTATCAAAAATTCATAATATTTGGTCATATATATTAATACGGAGTACACTTAAATTACTTAAATAATTTTTTTTAGTTCAAAATTTATGGCTAATATCTCCCAATTGTTTAACTAAAATACCATTTTTGTGAATTTAAATAGTGATTATTATCTTGCTAGTAGATGACTAGATCTCGTGTCATCCCAAGAAGAAGCTAAATATTAGGAGTATTTGTATGACACGGTAACTCGACCAATTTAGATAACCCAAACTCTTAGGTTTGAGTAATAAATTTTTTTATATTAAAGGTTTCTATGATTTTAGTTATTAATAAAAATGCACCGTGAATATGTATGATTTTTTTAAAAAATAATAATAATAATAATAACAACTCAACTTGGAAAGAGAAGGTAGAGTTGAGTTGGGTTGTAATCTGAGTGGCTCAGTTTACCAACTTAACATGTAACTGCTCAAACCCACATGATATGAACCAAGAGACATCAATCATGTAATATACTTTAATGAAGATGTGAAGAAAATATTGTTGAAATTATCAAAAAGATATTTCAATTCATGCCACATTGAAGAAGAAAGAAGTTTCATGATATAAATTTCGGGTGGATTACAATTTAGAGTAATTTAGAGTTATTGTATTTCATTAATGTATTTTAAGACTTTTTAGTTATCTAGGTTACAATTACATAATGGTTAATTATGATCTTAAGTATGAATGTTAGAACTCTTGGAATGCCCTTAATAGTTTCATTTTGAGACTATATAAAACATGTAGGTTGTATTTGTAAGAGACTTGGAAAATATAGTAAAGTAAGCATTTATGCTCTTCTTTAGCTATTGGGTAAGTTTCTTTGCAATTCTATGTAGTTTATGTTGCACGTAGAATCATTCAAGCTCGACATGATCAATCTTGCTTGTGGAGTGATTCGAATCTCAAACAAGTGTTCTTGCGTTGAGATATTTGATCAACAAGAATCATTCAAGCTAGACATGATCGATCTTGCTTGTGGAGTGATTCGAATTTCAAATAATGTTCTTGCCTTGAGATATTCGATCAACAAGGTAATTCGAATCTTACTCCCCTTGTAGTGTTTTCCACATTGTTAGGATCGCACAACAACGCACACACTCGATCTAGATGAACACAAAGAACAAGATAGAAAAAATGCAAGGAGAACTCTGGCTAAAGGATTTATATTGAGAACTCTAGCTATACATGGCTATTTACTATTTATGATAATTTACTTTATATGTCATTTACTAAATATAGCTTTACTATGGATAACCGTTTACTCCGCCATAACCTAACAATTCTCCCACTAGACTCATCCAGTCAACTAAGCATTTCATTCTCAAACGATCATAAATATCTTCACTGCATCGTACCAATTGAGGTTTTGCACAACCTTAATATTCCAACATCAACACATTTTGTCAAAATGTTTGCTGGATTCTTTGCACCCTCTATCTTCTCAAAACACATCACCATCTTCCACTAACCTGCAAGTGAAATGGTATCGCCTATCGTGTTTTATCTTTAAATGATAGATCGGGTTCCTCACCAATTGTATGACACTCTGACTATCTCTATAAAGAATCTTTTCGTGCTGCTTCTTGCCCAATTCTTCCTGTCACGACCCGATTTTCGAGGCTTCGAAAAACCGAATCGTGACTAAAAAGACGAAATCGAAAACAAACAAAAGAAAAATAAAAGAAAAGAAAAGCAAAGTAAAAAGATAAAAATATCATTGAATTAAAACAAAAAAAGAGAAATTTTGTTTGTTAATTATTACAAAAGAAATTGCAAATATAAAATGAAATACAAAAGACTCTAAAAGACCGAAAAGGGACTGACGCTCCGAAACGACCCCCTTTGTGACTGTACAGCTCTCAAACGCTCCTCTACCTCGACCAGCAGCTAGCGAACACCTGAGAAAAATAAAGGAGAACGGGATGAGTATAAAAATTATACTTAGTAAGCCACCTACTTGTAGGCTCTCTTCGCATCTTAATTTAACAGAACTCTCACAGTTTCATAATTCGGTTCTAGGACATCGGGTTCTAACCTTAGTTTCTTGGGGCTTGCCCCTTGGGTTTCACCGGTTCATCGTCCTTTCATTAGTCACTTAGAGGTCCCTTATGCCAAGCTGATATGGTCAGTATCTCTCTATGAGACGCTACCTCTACATGGCTATCTAGGACTACATGGTATCTAGCCTACGGGTGTGCTGAATACCCCTACGCCCATATAGTCCTCCTATGGGGGGCGCGACCCAACCCATTCCCATGCAGCTAATGGGCTGTACGACGTGGGGACGCATTTCCCATGCGAAATGGCTAAGAGCAGTAAGGACTGATCAGGGACCCTTGGTCCTCCCACGAAGCTATAGATACCGTTCACACGCTAGCAATCTATGAACACTCCTAGGTACTTTCTTGCCAGGGTGAACCGCTAAGTTCCTAGGGGAAAATTAAGTTTGGCTGGAGCGACATATCGCTCCTAACAGTAATTCTCTAAGCTTATCATAGCAATGGGCACTAGAAAATAACGGGGTGTGCATGCAACCGTCTTCTAACATCCTAATATTCATGCAAACTAGGCACGTCGGCTCAACGGGGCGATGGCCTCCATCCAGCACCCAAAACACGAAGTTCGCGCTCAATGGGGCGAATTCATCCATCGAGCACCCGGAACACGGAATACACAGTTCCAACATAAATTAAACGCATGCATATGTACAACGGAAGCTTAAGGCATACAGGCAACACTCAGATCATTCACCCAACACATCATAACAATCCATCTGATTAATCTCATTCATGGAGAGCTAATTTAAGGCAAAATTACTAACATGCATACATATAATCCAAACAAACCCTACAAGTATTTCTTCCTAAATACCAGGTGGTGACTTACCTGGTTGACGCGTGCCCTTTTTGCTAGCGTTTCTTTGCCCGTGAGGTGTCAAAAAGTACTAATTTCTTTAAATTAGGTCTCTATTCACGTAAGAATAGTATTAGAACTGGAACCGGGACAAAAATCGAGCAAACAGAAAACAACCGGGCCAAATTGGCCATTCCACGCGCTCTCACGCGCCAGCAGCGCGCGGGAAGGCGCCAGTTGCAGGCTGCACGCGCGCCCGCCTTCGCGTAGTCGCAGGTCGGCCAGTCCGGTCGGCTCGGCTTACGTCGCGGTTCGGCCCGGCTTGCAGGCGACACATGTCGACACCTCGCTGGAGCTGCGTTGCTCCAGCCGATGGTCGACGCGTGTCCAGCGCCTGTCGCCGCCATCCGCCACTCACCGGCTGACTTTTTTTTTTTTTTCCTTCTTCTTCTTCTTCTTTCTTCTCTGCCCTCTGAAAACCAAAACACAACCCTCTTTTCCGATTTTCATATCTTTCGATCCGTAGATCGGATTGACATAATTCCTTCAGCAAAGTTTTAGATCGTGTTACGGGCTACGTCCTCGTATTTTTTTCGTAATTTTTGCTTAGCTACCGGACGAGTTAAGAAGGTCAGAATTTCGCTCACCGTTCTCAAACGACTCTCGGATCTCCGCCTTCGGGTTGAGGTCTCGGCCAAACTTCTTCACAGATCATGCGTAGAGTTGTTCCTAGATGAATATATCAAGATTTCAGATCTTGATTCACAAAGGAAAACCGTAGATCTGAGAAAACGTTAAAGATCCTTACCTTGCGGGTTTTCCGACTTAAAAATGGGACTCCAGCCACCCACATTCTCTTTTCCCTTCCAAGAAAGTCTCTCTGCATGATCTTCACCTCCTTGCATCATGATCTTCACCGGAATAGACTCTGACGGTAGTTTTCGGTGAGTCTTCCGGCGGTTCATCCTTTCTCCTCTCTCTAGGTTCTCTCTACCCCTTTCTCTCACTATCTCTCTTTTGCAGGACTATGGATGGGTTTCATTTGGACCCCTTAGGTGGTTGGAGGGGCAAATTACCTATTTGCCCCTCTCGACTTTTCCTTTTTTTTTTTTTTCTATTTCTATTTCTATTTCTCTTTCTTCGGGTATTACACTTCCAAATAGTCAGTCATCCATATCGTCTTCTTTCCAGCTTCAGCTATTGCCACGTACTCAGCCTCAATACAACGCATTTTTGAAGCCTAGACGTCCCATCATCCATGGCTTGCTTCTACTTGGTTGTATCCTCCAACTGTAGGGCCTCATCAAAGGGCTCTGATTCCCTTTCATCAGCAACAGATAGTGTAATAAAGGTACATACATATCTGGTACTCTGATACTACAGGATGATCTACTCAATACCGATTCAGGTGTCACTTGCTCTACTGTTAGTTCCTCTGCAACAACCTCAGGAGTTTGT